TAATAGGGTTGGGCTTCGGACGTTTTAAATAATTTAGAAATTAATGCTTTATTAACCATTAACCTGTTTTCATTGTTAAGTCCGTGCAAAGATCCTGTTCTTTGCCGAAACAGAACTCCATATTTACCATTTTATAACTAATAGAAGTACTGGTTTTATTTGTAAGTCCACATCTAGGTAGTAATCGTACGCTAAGCATTCACAAAAACCGTCGCGTGTTAAACTAAGACCATTGCAGGCTACTATTGTTAGCACTTTTCTGCAGGGAGGGGTTTCGGAGATTCAATCTTCTGGAGCGGACCAATACTCACGGTCTTGAAGTAACTAGATAGCCACGGAAGAAATGGTAGGCACTGAACAAAGGTTCTAAATACTACTTAATTGCCATATTTACACTCCGACCTCTATCGCAAGAAATCTGTATACGAGATGACACAGTGGGTGAACAACACACAGTCATTTCTGGAGTATTGGTAGTCTGTTACATTTTATGCAAGGTTAAAAGTTGTTTAAGGCTATATGATTTTGAGAGTCCATCAATGCACCCTTACTTATTTACAGGGTACTTAAAACGCATTTAGAGTCTTAGGGCCGGTTATTTAAACAAAGTCTGACGGGGTTTAAGAAATCTTTGGACCTTCAGATCTCCAAAAATAAGGGGGGGCGGGTGGGGGATATGCTTTAATGAAACTGTTCACGAAAAACGGTGTTCAGCAAAAAGGTTAGCGTTGGACAAACTGAAAATGACTTAGAACGCGGTTTTGTTAAACAGTGGTTAAACTCCGTTTACATAACCGGCCCCTAGCATTTAGAAACTTAGGTATTGACCTGACTTGCTCACTTACTTTGCAATTTATATAAATACACACTGTCAACTTGCGAGTTTTATAATTCTGACCCAAGCCACCACTGTGTAGTAGACGAAGCGTTTACCGTGCACCTGTGTTTTGGATTGGTAACAGCATAAAAACCGAAATTATCTTCTCCTGATATTGCTCCCGCCCCGGGGTTCCACTGACAGCCATTTCTTCCGCTCCAGTAAGAATCTGTATGCATGTGTTGACTGTCTCTTTGAACCAACATCCCTTTACAATCCGTACAGTTTATTCCTCGCACTGAAACATATTCATACCTCTTGCATTTGTCCTGATTGACAAACGTTAGGAGATCTGTTTCATTGAGCGAAGAGCGTGCGTAGTCGGCATAACTGAGGCCTGATGGGAAGGTACAGGTCACGCGCCAGTGCGTCGAGTTATTCCGGATATTAACCAAGGCTTGGTATGAAAGCCTAAAGTCGTCCCATGTGAAGTTGTTCTCGTTTCGAGGAAAATCGTGATAAAATGGTTTGTTCTTATATATGTCTTTGTTTGAAAGCGAAAACGATTCTATGAGGGTCCAAGCTTTACCAGCCTCAGAGGTAAAGTCACAATAACCCTGCACGGTTTTATTATCACTTATAACAAGTTCGTAAACACCAGAGTGCGATCCCGGCCTAAATATCTTGACACCTTGGCACGACTTGACTTCTGGATAAAACTGCTCGCATCGTTTTCCCTTGTAATATTTTGAGCATGTGCAAGTATAAGGTTCTCTGACGTCAGTGCATTTTTCTGCACAGGTTCCGCCGTTAAGACAGGGCTTTGATCTGCAGCATCCGTTAAAACAGCTTTGGTTCAGCTGGTAATATAATTAAAATAATAATAAAGCGTAGTCATACAGAATACCTTTTCGCATGTACGAATTAAGTTTTAGTTGTGGACGCAAATTTGTCTTCTTACACCTAACGTTTTGCACTCAAATTTAGTGAGCGATTCCGACCATCCCTTGGACACAATCATCAAGAAACATAACCTGGCTGATTCGTTGTGAGTATTTAAATTCTACAAAACAATGACTGATTTTGCTAACAATATTGTGTTTGCAGCGGTAAGAATTTATTGAGAATTCCTCTTTTAATCTGCGTCTGTTACATCAAATTTTGCTTCCTTTAGCGACAGAGCGCAATAAAGCCGTGCTGTTGTCATAAAATTGAACTTAGTTTATAACTACAAAACACAGAATACCTTTGCATGTCACCAAACTCAAAGCTACAAATCGTATGTCTAGCGATGGGCTTGGGGCACTTTTTAGCTTATGATATTGAACATGTAAATATAGGTATGTATTTTTACTTGTGCGTTCAATATTTATTTAAAGTTCATTACTCCCTAGTAGCTCTACAACTTGTTTTCCTATCAATGACACAATCTTACCTGTATACTATGCTGATTCATAGTGTACAAAGCAGTGCCTGGTCTAGTTACCAGGTCCCCAACCACGACATCTTTATCTGCATCCAATAATTCACATTTCCACCCAGTCAATTGAAAGGGAGGGGTTGTGCGTCAATCATACCGTCCAAAAAGGACAGCCGAGGAGTACTAGGAACGAGTTTCCGATTCGGGCCGACATTACCCTTCGAGCAGAGGCTACATTTTCGCGGTATGAACTGATGTCTCATACCGCGAAAATGTAGCCTCTGCTCGCAGGGTAGGCCGACATCGGAAATATTCTCTAAAACATCTCGTGAATATGGCGGCTCAAGTGTGGTGAAAACTGACTGCCAAAGGAGCTGTTTTATCCGCCAGAGAAGCGTGATTTACGGTATTGTTGACGAAGTTTACGTTTATTGTCACTGTTGCAGAGTTCTTGGTCCTGTATAGTAAGCAATCCTTTAATAAATGTCTTATCAATTTTTCTTGTCCCGCTGGCCGGTATTACCGAAGAAAATAGTACCGTCCAACGGGACTTTCTAAATTATAGCAACATTTGTTGGCATGTACATCACCTCTAGCTTTCATTGCTAAACTGTGTTGTAGAACTTGATTTCCGTAGGTTTCTAAATCACGCTTCCCTGGCGATAAAACGGCTCCTTTGGCTGTCAGTTTTCACCACACTTGAGCCGCCATATTGGATGTTTTCGAGAATTTCCGATGTCGGCCCGAATCGGAAACTCGTTCCTAGTACTCCTCGGCTGTCCTTTTAGGCACAACCCCCACATCGTCCACAATGCACGGCCACCTTGCTCTTTGCTGAAATGTAAGGCCCCGGTTGATGCATGTGTCTGCTGCTTAAAAAAAACATAGACTTTCTACTTTTCTACGACTTTGTCCCTGAGATCTACAAAAAAAAAAAACAACGACAACAACAACACAGAAATAAATGGGATGAAATTTGAGCGGGGCAGATGTGCTCCTGAGCGGGGTTGTTTTGTCAAAATAGACTGAAACACATGGATTCCGGATTCGGATGTGAATGAAAACAAACGGGTGGAAATAGGTAGCACTGGTTCATTCTCAGGTGTTTTACTTTTTTCTTTCTTTCTTTTTTCTCTCCCCTTTTTTGGCTTCATTTAAAATTGTGAATTATTTGCGTCAATGACGGTAAAAGACCTTTTTTTTTTCTTATTATTATTTGCCTTGGCAACTGAGGCAAACTATTAAAAAAAGCCATCGCAGGTTTTTGTCAAAAATACAAACTGTTTATATATCAACTGTGTCTTTTGGGCAAATCAAGCCAGAAAAGATCGTTTTTGGATTTTTTGGATAGAAAAGAACTATTTTAGACCAGAAAAGTGAAGTTTTAATAAAAGTACAAATAATCGACGTTTTCTCAAGGGATCAGTCCAAGCTTTTTGTCAAAAATTTTAACTTTTTATTAAATTTTTTTTGGGGCAAATCAAGCCAGAAAAGGTCGTTTCTGGATAGTCTGGATAGAAAGCACACGTTTTAGATCTGAAAAGCGAATTTTTAAAAAAGTCCAAAAAATCGAAACTTTTCCAAGGGGTAGGTCCACGCTTTTTGTCAAAAATTCGAACTTTTAATCATCTGTGTGTTTTGGCCAAATCAAGCCACAAAAGATCGTCTTTGGATAGTCTGGATATATAACAACGTTTTTAAGACAAGAAAAGTAAAGTTTTAAAAAAGCCCAAAAAATGAAACTTTCCTAAGGGGCTAGTCCATTGTTTTTGTAAAAAATTCGAACTTTTTTCACCTGTGTTTTTTGGGCAATCAAGTCACACCAGAAAAGATCGTTTTTGGATGTTTTGGATAGAAAAGAACGCTTTTTAGACTTAAAGTAAAGTTTTAAAAAAATCCAATGAATTGAAATTTCCTCAAAGGGTTAGTCCATGCTTTTAGTCAAAAAATCGAATTTTTTTATCAACTGTTTTTTGGGGCAAATCAAGCATAAAAATATCGTTTTTTGATAGTCTGGATTAAAAACAACGCTTTTTAGACCAGAACTGAAAGTGAAGTTTTAAAAAAGTCCAAGAATCGAAATTTTTCGAAGAGATTAGTCCATTGTTTTTGTCAGAAAATGGAACTTTTTTTCATCTCTGTGTTTTGGGTAAATAAGACAGTAAAGATTGTTGTTGGATATTTTGGATAGAAAATAATTTTTTTAGATCAGAAAAATTTTAAAAAAGTGCAAAGAATCGAAATTCTCCCAAGGGGTCAGTCGGCAGTCCTTTCTTTTTGCCAGATAACTTGCTTATGCATAAGGGCAAAATGAAGTGTATATTATTTGGCACTGGTCCCAAGCTAGCACTTTCTACTTCTTTTTTCTGAGTACTATTGAAGGAAAAGTACTTAATCGCGCTTCTGAGAATAAATGTCTTGGGGTTGTTCTCGATCCGTCGCTGACGTGGAATGCGCACGTTGATTATTTAGTCGGTAACGTTAGGCAGAGAGTAGCATTGTTAGGCCCAATAATGAAAAACATAAACATGTACATGACAGATACCATTTATACGTCTTTTTTTCTCCTTATTCTTGATTACTGCGACGCTGAGTGTAGCTACTGCGGGAGCGTTAACGCTGATAGGTTGGAGAAATTGCAAAGCTACTGTAGGCGCGGAGCACGTTATGTGTCTGGGGAGCAGCGAAAAAGAGCTAACAATCTTGTTACGTCGCAATCTAGATGAGAAATGCTTACGTAACCATTGTCCACAGTTTTTATGCATTATTTTAATTATAACAGGGAATTATTGTCCAGGAGAACAAGGAAAAGTGCTTAACTTAGACTCCAGTCTATTAAATTAGAATGTACGAAAAGAAAAAAGAACTTTTTATCCTGATTGTGTAATTTTTATTCAGATTGAGATTTTTATGATTTCTCTAGTAATTTGATTTTCAACTCTTTTATATGGCTTTTTCTATTTTTATTTGTACTTAATTATTACTATTATTTCTATTCCATTTCGGTTTATCACGTAGGGCGTATATGGAAAGGATTTTTTTTTATACTGTGCAGAAACTGAGGGAGTTACCCTATAGAAAATAAAAGTTTCTATCTATCTTACATGTAAAACGAGCGAAATGCTCCGCCACTTTGTATTCACTACCAAAACAACTCAACCTCGTCTCCAGATCTTCTCGGTTACCCGTTTGATATATCTGGTGACATCGTCATGAGTTCTCATTATTGGAAAATCTTCCAAATTTGGTCGATGGTTATGATGAAATATTCTTGGGATCAGTTTTAGCCAATCAGAAACGGAGGAATATTTTGAATGAATAATAAGGAGTACTATCCACCCACTACCCACCCCTTTCCAGCCCCAGGATGGCTGTTACTGGGCAGAAAGGTATGAAAAAACGTTTATTTCAGTTTTTTGTTCGAAATAAACTTATAGGGTTGGGCTTCCGACGTTTTAAATAATTTAGAAATTAATGCTTTATTAACCATTAACCTGTTTCCATTGTTAAGCCCATGCAAAGACCCTGTTCTTTGCCGAAACAGAACTCCATTTTTACAATTTAAAAATACTGGTTTTATTTGTAAGTCCACATCTAGGTAGTAATCGTACACTAAGCATTCACAAAAACCGTCGCGTGTTAAACTAAGACCATTGCAGGCTACTATTGTCAGCCCTTTTCTGCAGGGAGGGGTTTCGGAGCTTCAATCTTCTGGAGCGGACCAATACTCACGGTCTTGAAGTAACTAGATAGCCACGGAAGAAATGGTAGGTACTGAACAAAGGTTCTCAATACTACTTTATTGCCATATTTACATTCCGGCCACTATCGCAAGAAATCTGTGTACGAGATGACACAATGGGTGAACAACACAGAGTCATTTCTGGAGTATTGGTAGTCTGTTACATTTTCATGTAAGGTTAAAAGTTATTAAAGCCTATATGATTTTGAGAATCCATCAGTGCATCCCTTACTTATTTACAGGGTACTCAGTAAAACGCATTTAGAGTCTTAGGGCTGGTTATTTAAATTAAGTCTAACGGGGTTTAAGAAATCTTTGGACCTTCAGATCTCTTGCTGAGTGGTTTGATTTAAGAAGGTAAATGCTCGTCTAGTCTGCACTATATGCTTTTATGAAACTGTCCACGACAAATGGTGTTTAGCTAAAAGGTTAGCGTTGGACAAACTGAAAATGACTTAGAGCGCGGTTTTGTTAAACAGTGGTTAAACCCCGTTTACATAACCGGCCCCTAGCTTTTAGAATCTTCGGTATTGACCTGATCATGACTTGCTCACTTACTTTGCAATTTATATAAATACACATTGTCAACTGGCGGGTTTTATAATTCTGACCCAAGCCACCACTGTGTAGTAGACGAAGCGTTTACCGTGCTCCTGTGTTTTGGATTGGTAACAGCATAAAAACCGAAATTATCTTCTCCTGATATTGCTCCCGCCCCGGGATTCCACTGACAGCCATTTTGTCCACTTCAGAAAGAATCTGTATGCATGTGTTGACTGTCTCTTTGAACCAACATCCCTGTACAATCCGTACAGTTTATTCCTCGCACTGAAACATATTCATACCTCTTACATTTGTCCTTATTGACAAACGTTAGGAGATCTGTTTCATTGAGCGAAGAGCGTGCGTAGTCGGCATAACTGAGGCCTGATGGGAAGGTACAGGTCACGCGCCAGTGCGTTGAGTTATTCCGGATATTAACCAAGGCTTGGTATGAAACCCTAAAGTCGTCCCATGTGAAGTTGTTCTCGTTTGGAGAAAAATCGTGATAAAATGGTTTGTTCTTATATATGTCTTTGTTTGAAAGCGAAAAGGATTCTATGAGCGTCCAAGCTTTACCAGCCTCAGAGGTAAAGTCACAATAACTCTGCACGGTTTTATTATCACTTATAACAAGTTCGTAAACACCGGAATGCGATCCCGACCTAAATATCTTGACACCTTGGCACGACTTGACTTCTGGATAAAACTGCTCGCATCGTTTTCCCTTGTAATATTTTGAGCATGTGCAAGTATAAGGTTCTCTGACGTCAGAGCATTTTTCCTCACAAGTTCCGCCGTTAAGACAGGGCTTTGATCTGCAGCATCCGTTAACACAGCTTTGGTTCACCTGGCAATATAATTAAAATAATAATAATTAAAGTGTAGTCATACAGGACACCTTTTCGGATGTACGAATTAAGTTTTAGTTGTGGACGCAAATTTGTCTTCTTACACCTAACGTTTTGCACTCAAATTTAGTGAGCGATTCCGATTTTCCCTTGGACACAATCATCAAGAAACATAACCTGACTGATTCGTTGTGAATATTAAACTTCTACAAAACAATGACTGATTTTGCTGACAATTTTCAGTTTGCAGCAGAAAGAATTTAGTGAGAATTCCTCTTTCAATCAGCGTCTGTTACATCAAATTTTGCTTGCTTTAGCGACGGAGCGCAATAAAGCCGTGCTGTTGTCATGAAATCGAATCTAGTTTATAATCACAAAACACGGAATACCTTTGCATGTCACCAAACTCAAAGCTACAAATCGTAAGTCTGGCGATAGGCTCGGGGCACTTTTTAACTTATGATATTGAACATGTAAATATAGGTATGTATTTTTACTTCTATATTCAATAAAGAAATTTATTTATATTTATTTTATTATTATTTATAGTTCATTACCCCCTAGTAGCTCTACTTGTTTTTCTACCAATGACACAATCTTACCTGTATACTATCCTGATTCATAGTGTACAAAGCAGTGCCTGGTCTAGTTACCAGGTCCCCAACCACGACATCTTTATCTGCATCCAATAATTCACATTTCCACCCAGTCAATTGAAATGCTACACAACCACAAACCTTTGCACAATGGCGGAAGCAATCAATTTGACTTGATACATTCATAGAACGAATAGTGTGCCCTAATATGGCGACGTTATCCGTGAATATGTTGTACATGTACATTAGCTGTGTTGCATGTTGATTGTCCTTTGCTCTCATAGAACGTGAAAGGAGAAGAATTCCGCATATGACCAAAAATAGAGACCCAGTGCTTGAAGCCATTTTTGACTGAAAGAAGAAAGAATCAGACTTGTATTCTAAACCAGCGAAAACCAATACCTGGATATTTAAGTGGCGCATGAGGTTTTACGGACTGGAATTAGTAAACCAAGGAAGGTCGATCAAAGAAGTGACACTTTGTAAATCTTACAACAAAAAATAAATCATAAAGATTTAATTCCGAATTTCAAGTAACAACGAGTTATCACTGGCTATGTGTTGTCTGAACCTAACCTCTAAACGTCAAATATCCTGTCAAAATTGGTGAAAAGAATGACTCATACAACTACAAAAATCCAGTTTTTTAAAAGCTTCTATTAATAAAACGAAAACGGCCAAGAAAAAGAAAAGACTAGCGATGTCGCACGTTGTGTTAGAAACTAGATGATTATTCCCGTTGGAGAGATATGTTTGACTTATTCTGATGTCTTATATATTCAAAATGACTTACGTTAATAATCTCGAAAAGAAAGGGTAATTGCTTATGAAGCGATGAAGCGGCAGCTGCACACAATATAATTGTCTTGTTTCAAAATTTTTCTTTTCTTCATCACTTCTTTCCGTTTGGCTCTTTACCTTTATTATGCAACAAGTTATCATCCCGGTTTGATCGGTTGAAACGATCTCGTGACGNTAGAGACCCAGTGCTTGAAGCCATTTTTGACTGAAAGAAGAAAGAATCAGACTTGTATTCTAAACCAGCGAAAACCAATACCTGGATATTTAAGTGGCGCATGAGGTTTTACGGACTGGAATTAGTAAACCAAGGAAGGTCGATCAAAGAGATGACACTTTGTAAATCTTACAACAAAAAATAAATCATAAAGATTTAATTCCGAATTTCAAGTAACAACGAGTTATCACTGGCCATGTGTTGTCTGAACCTAACCTCTAAACGTCAAATATCCTGTCAAAATTGGTGAAAAGAATGACTCATACAACTACAAAAATCCAGTTTTTTAAAAGCTTCTATTAATAAAACGAAAACGGCCAAGAAAAAGAAAAAACTAGCGATGTCGCACGTTGTGTTAGAAACTAGATGATTATTCCCGTTGGAGAGATATGTTTGACTTATTCTGATGTCTTATATATTCAAAATGACTTACGTTAATAATCTCGAAAAAAAAGGGTAATTGCTTATGAAGCGATGAAGCGGCAGCTGCACACAATATAATTGTCTTGTTTCAAAATTTTTCTTTTCTTCATCACTTCTTTCCGTTTGGCTCTTTACCTTTATTATGCAACAAGTTATCATCCCGGTTTGATCGGTTGAAACGATCTCGTGACGGTTTTGACAAAATGATTTCGAAAGAAGTGATTTTTTAACGAAAGACTAATTTATTACCTATGACGCATTAAAAAACCATGGACCAATGTCCAAACGCCACTTCTTTTCGCAACAGGGTGCCAATTTATCAGCGGGAAAACCAAATTGATTCACCAAAACAAGCTGTGGGAGGCAATTCTCGTGAATGGAGAAACCAGAGTTGGGGTAAACAGCATCAGTAAACGGGAAAAAGTCGTAATATTATACCAGTTCTGTGTTACTGTAGAAAGGATGTTGTGCTCTTGAATATGGTTCAGTTATATTTTTCAAACAAACGGAAGCGCAGTAAGAGTGGAACGATGGGAAACTCCAAAGGACACGCTTTAACAATAAGAATTGTATACGATTCAAATGTATTGCAGAACTTGAAATAACTATGCCTACAGACAGTAATAAGGCAAATTGACATTGACACTAGAACACCCTTAAAAACAAGCCTAGCATTTTTATGTCATAATGAATGTGATTAACTTACAGAGTTCAACTGGGGAACTCTGCTCAATCATCAAACCATGGCGACTCCGCGAAAAGTAAAGAGATATTCCGAAATATTTTTCTCAAGAATTTCAAATAACGACGTTAGTTACCCTATTTGTTATGACAAGCCAGTCTTTTCTATTCTCTGATTCTAACTTGAAGCTTCCTGTGCGCACGTCTATCTTTCAAAGACAACAACATTAATATTAATCTTTACAAACGGCCTATACACGTTAGCGACGTTATTCATTGAAAAATTGTTTAAGCAAAAACGTAACACGCAAAACGTTAAAGGGAATGTGTATATCTTACCTCTGACCTTGAAACAGCAGCTTTTCAACGAGTCTCAGTTGGTCGTGTGTCAATAAATTATATTTCCTCTGGAACCTATACAAGTCAGTCGATGATTGTTTTTTGTGCTGGATTTAGAAAAGACCGCCGCTTCACGAAGACAAATTCACTCGTTGTTGTTGTTTTTTTCTCAAGACACAGCTCATGACTCCTTCATAAAACGATAAACAAGAACAGCCAAACTTTCGGTTTACGACTCTTGTACATAAATGATAAATGAATCCATACATGATACTTTTCAATAGCGTGCAAATTAGGGGGCAGGTGTGTAGGTCTGTTTGTTTCGGTGTCAAAAAATGCAGGTGTTAAACATAATTAAAAATTAACACCGACAAAAACAAAAATCGGCGCAAGGCAAAGGCAAGCAAATGTCGAGTGAGCGCGATTTTTCAGTGTCAGCAAAATGTTGGCCATATCGTGTAATCTTTATTTCACTGCTCAATTTCCTTTTCAACATCTTTCCCCGCCCTCTTTTAATTGTTCTTTTGAAATACGACTCAGGATATATTATATAGCGTATGCTGGCCACTGTACTGCTAAATTTGAAAATGTAGTGCTCAAGATGAAACAGCCTTAGAGCAAGTGAACACGGTCTGGCCATTATTTCTGGCCATGAGTATTTCAAGCATGCACTAAGTTCTATCGTTCGCGGGGTAGCAGGAGCACAGCTCTGTTTCGTCACCAAACACAGCTCTTAAAGTCAATTTTTATTTACCATGGTTCTTTTTCTATAAAAATCCAATGTTAACAATGCAAAACGAAAAACAATGATTCGCGAATGGACAGGTAGGAGAGAACCCTGGGAACGAGGTTGAATGATGCGAGGGAAAATTCGCCTATCACAAGGCCCTAAGAAGATCCTGAATGCCCTGTTACAAAGTTAATTTTAACTTGGCTTAATTAATGTTTTTGCCAAGAGCTTGTATGGTGTGATCTGGATTAAATATAATTATGTGTATCGTTTAGATAAGTTACACTCGGCGAGGCAAATTTCTACGGTCGCCTTACCCACTTCAAGCTTAAAAATTTACGCCTTAATTTATCTTTGATACATGTGTTAAGCGAGAATTATGGAAGTTGCTTGATAGTCTAGGAGCAATGGTAATCTCGTGGGATTTTAGTGATGATTTCAAGCGACTAGTGCAGAAGTATTAAGGGGGCCCTAAGGAACATGTTTAATGTTGTCGGCACTTTTGTATTGCGTGCAGAGAAATTTTAGAAGGTGTTGATAAAAGAGCATTGAGCTGCCCTGCATGAGAACGAGGCTGAACAAGATGTCGACTGAAAAATAGCCGTTTATTAGAATTTTGGAATAAGCTACAATCAGTTTCGATATTCTGGGATGTCTTACTTAATAAATAGTTGTTTGCGACACCTCTGCGTGGTAACGTGACCGGAAGTAGAGGCTTAATACAAAGAGTACTAACATTAATACCTTTTCACATTTCGACTTTCTAATCTTTCTACTCCTCACTGTCAGGGTCCTCGTACTCAATTTTTAGTGTATCAGTATCTTCACAGGCATTTCTCACGGGGATAATCACTGTTACAGCAACAACAGAAGTAGGTGCAATTCAAGCCTGATTTCCGGCAGTGGCATGGACTGTTTGAGAATCGGTTCTTTTGACAGCCGCACTTGACCAACTGGACGATTGCTTCCGGAGCAGGTGCTTCCTTTGTCATAACGGGGATTCATTCATCCACGGTTTTCTCCCATCGGAATTCACCTGGTTGTGGCAAACTAGGACAGCGCACTTTATCATTGTCCCAAACTANAGAAGTATTAAGGGGGCCCTAAGGAACATGTTTAATGTTGTCGGCACTTTTGTATTGCGTGCAGAGAAATTTTAGAAGGTGTTGATAAAAGAGCATTGAGCTGCCCTGCATGAGAACG